CATGGCTCATGTTATTACCTATCGATGAAATTATAATACATATATACAGGGTGTCCCGTGAGGATTTACTCATTAGCCGTAGAGGGGGACTCGCCGCCCGGACAAAAACCAGTTTATTGACGTTTTACTAATAAACTAAAAAAATTATTAAAAATCATGAGATTAATGAAAATAAAATGTTAAAAGCTCAAAATGTTCACAAAAATATACTCTATAGAATGGCTATCTTCAATTTTTTCAAAAATTAAAAAATTAAAAAATAATTTTTTTAACTTTTTTACTAAAAAATTTAATTTAATTAAAAAATAAAATATTTGTAGTGCTTACCTCTGCGAGTCTTAATAAAAAAACATAATTACGATATCTCCATTATTTCAGGAGATATCGCAATGAGTAAATCCTCACGGGACACCCTGTATATATTTCCCAAGCGCGATATGAAATTATCGTTTGCGTTTAGGTACCGTTGAAATGCATTTCACTAAGACGACGATTGTCACATAGCAAGAATGCAACAACAAATTAAGACCAAAACTTGATGGTTTATAGTACACAATATAAAGTTAATTATATGTGTATTATGTATATCCACAACATTTTATCAAGAGTTACTTCCTTTTATTTCATACTTTAAGTATTAACTGAACTTATATTATAGGTAATAACAACAAATACCCTCCTTCTATTTGGAATGTAACTATATACTGTAAGAATTCGTACAATGTACAAATCTCATCGAACGAACAATTTCGATGAAATAGTTCGTTCAATAAATTAGTGAAAATAACTAGTCCTAGTTTTTGGACAATTTTGTGGGCAATACTGCAATGGGATGAATGTGTCAATAGACTTTATAAGAGACAAAGGTCCAATGCTGATGACTAGGGCTCAGGACTTCTAGGAGTTTGCATGTTTTTAAATAATCATTAAAACATAGCTAAGTAATATAGAAATTTGTTTCATAGCAATACGAGTTTAAATTTAAAATTTATAGTTGCATATTTTGCATATTTCACCATTTTTCATTTATAAGTGCATAATATTTGACCATTTTTCATCAATGATAACAATAATAAACTATTAAATTTATGCAACCAGCATCAAAAAAGGTGGTGAGTGGGTACCGCTTTTTGTTGAATGAATGTGTTAGATTTGAATTCAATGATAAATCATTGCATACAAAAAATGATTTTGAGCGAAGATTTTGTCATCCTTTATCATATACATGTATAAATAATCAAATTTAATAATTAAAAACCGTTGAATATCAAATATTGTACACAATTTAAAATCAAACGCTCATCAAAATGTATGATAGGTATTTTTCGGTGAAGTTTTGGTTTTTGATAAAGATAGAAAAACTGGTTGGGAATCAAAATTTATAATTTTAGCTATACAATTAAACATTTTCATTAATTTCTAACTGAAACATAATTTCCAAATTTTTAAGTTTAAAATTAAATGTATTTACTTCTTAAGTATAATTCCATGGGGTGGCACCAATGGATGACTTCCTCCCTCCCGTAAATCATCCTCATCAAATTTACTTATTGTAATATAATATGTAATTACAGATTGTATATAAAATGTTGTTTAATAAAAAAAAAAAAAAAAAACAAAAAGGTATAATTTATATTTCCATACTTTATTTAGGTATTTTATTTTAGAACGGCGACTATGGCCATTAACTGTTTTCGGTTTCGTATGTTTTTATGTCGGTAGGGGGAGGAATACATGTGTGTTTTGTTTGGCAGAATTTTTGATTGGGCACCCGTAGGTATCTGGCATGCCCCGGTGGGGGATGGCGGCACTTGTTCTCCGGACACCGTGACTTGCCCGAAGAAAAATGCCGCCCATGACCGAGCCGTCCCCCCATACTTTTATTGTGCCTGCTGGTACAATAATTGTGTATAAACAATAAAAAATAAAAATGTATAAAATAGTACAAACTACAATAATGCGTTCTGTAATTTATATTTATACCTAACCGTACAAAGTGTCCGCGTTAAGCATTTTAAACAATTATAGACTGTATAATACTGTACAAAGTGACCGTTTATAATTTATTATTTGTTTATAGTTTGTGTATTTAAAAGTCGGAATATAATAAATAACTATAAGTCGTTATAGTTACATAATATTATATGTATAGCCGATACATAGCTATATTTAGAAAATATAATTTAATAATATACTCATGTAATACAAGTTAAGCTAATATTTTCTAAAACTAATTGCATTTATCTGGTATTTAGGTGTAAAGTGTAATGTAATAACTGTATTTCACAATTAATTTGTTGAACAATTTAATTTTAATTATTAGGTGGTATTTTTAAAATGATAAAAGGTTAATTAGTGTTATATATACTTAATACTTATATACAGTGGCGTCCGCAGGATTTTTCAATAGGGGGGGCTTGAAAATAAGTTACAATTTAATTTTTATTTTGTCCAGTCTAATAATTGCAGACGTTTATTTGGGGTATTTTAAAATGTTTGTAACTTTTCAACTCATCTGGTAGAAAAAATGCTCTGAATTCTGATCATAAGCTTCGATGCCCAGTGTATGTTTTTGTTAGCAAATTGGATCTAGTTAGTACTTTAAGGAGGTAGAAATTGAAAATTCTTAGTGCTTTTATAAATAATTGGAGAAAAAAAAATGAAAATTTATTTAAGTTGTTTGGTAACAAGCTTGGTTATACCGTCTTAACTTGGATTGTATTTGATTAATTAAAATTTTTCTTCTATAAATGTCAATAAAAAATTAATTATCCGTTCAAAAAGCTTAAAAATGTAATACCTACGTGAGTTTTTTTATTATCGCTAAAATATTAACAATACATAGGCATCATGGCTATTTTTTATATGCATTTAAAGTTCAAATTTCGTCAAAACCACGGTTAATTTGTAGTTCAAAACTCATAAAATATAAAATATGTATAGTTAAGGCTAGACAATTTAATACAAGTTCTTTCATACAAGTAGTTCATACTTTTACAGAAAAATTACAGATAATTTATGAAAATTGGTATGCAAATACAATGTTTTTTCAAAAATGAATTTATTCTGGTAAGACAAATATGAGATTTACTATAGTTGACAGTTTAAACTTGATTAATATTTTTTTGAAAAAGTAATAATAATACGGGCAATGGGGGGGGCTTCAGCCCGTTAGCCTCCCCCCTGCGGACGCCACTGCTTATATATACACGAAAGTGCTAATATAGTAGGTACATTACACATTCTCTCAAGAAGGAATAATCTTCAAATTAAATGCTTTAACGTATTGATGCTTATATTTATATATAATGTAGGTGTAGGTAGGTACTGCGATAAGGTGATTTTATTTTATACGAAAACACTTATTTTTTAATCAACGGTCGTTTTGATTTATATATTGATAATATAATAAAGTATATTTAAAAAATATATAGGATATTGCAGTAGGTATTCAATCTGTGAAAGAATTTAAATATCGATTGTATTTTTTTTTTAACTTTACGCCATAGTTTTAAATTCGTATTCAGGTATTCTGAATAAGATTCTGTTGTATAAAAATAATAAATAGCACGTATTCACTATTCATTTATTATGTTTAAACATTGACAACTTAGATAAGCCCAGAAGTGAGAGAAAATTAGATACATTCCCTCGATGTATGTATACAAACGTATTGATTATTTACATGTCTACTCATCTTATATATAAGTTTAAAATGTTTATAAATGATAATCTATAAACAATAGACTTTTGGTTTCACGTTCTGTCAAAATATTCATAGCAAATATTCTACTTCAGAGTATGTCATTGAAAAATATAGATAAAACAAGGGAAATGCTCCCAAAATACTCCAGGAATGACAAATAGTTTGTAAAAAAAAAAGTGTTATCAATACAATATAGTTAACTGTGAAAATGAGAATTTTAAGTTCAAGCGCCACCCAGTTTATAAGACAGTAATATGTAACCGTTTATTTAACCTTAATAATAAGTAATAACTAATGATTTGGTCATTAACCTTTTTTTTATCTGTAATCACTAATCAGCAGACAAGTGTACTTTGTTTTTTTTAAAAATAAAATAATCTCACTTTTATCAGAATAGTAATTTTCTACTCGAATGAAACATAATTACAGCTAGTATACTATTATTCGACGAAAAATAATAATAATTCTCTGCAAAAAATGTATAGATAGCAAATTTTAAGTAATTATATCAAGTTATGATAAAGACAATACAATTACGATTATATGGATTACATACAAAAACACTTGTAATTCGTAGGGTACTCAATAACTGTTTTGAAGATCCCCATTACCTAGTAAAGAAAAAATGACTTATATAAAAAATTTTTACTTCAAATTATAGTACAAACAGGTTATTTACTTGGATGTATATAAATAATTATACATTCAATAATTAAAATAAAGAAAAATCAATTGATATACATTGTATTATTTACAATAATTAATAAAGTATCCTTATAGGTATATTTACATAATTTTTTTATCACTATATAAAAAATATACACGTGTAAAATATCAGCAACTATAAACAATGATATACAGTATATTAAAGAAAAATAATTGTTTACAATCTATGATGATTTTTTTGAGAACTGAAATATTCAGTTTGTACCAAAATCGATAAACACGCAGTGCTTCAACAAAAAAATCCCTCTCATCCATTGGAGTTCTAATGACAAATAAACGATATTTCTAACAAACGACGAATGCATTATTTTCGAGGGAATGCACCCGTCGCGGCCGTTGCAAAAAATATAAACGCATAGCGAGTCCTTCTCCTGCGGAAGATTGTCACACCGTGACTAATATATATAATATGTATGTATAACATACGCAAGTGGAAAGTCGTGAAAATATTGTGAGGGTGCGTTCGACCCGTACTCGTACGAATCGACTGCGGGTCATCGCCACGCACCCACATCCACCTCCCCCACCTCCACCAGCAGCGGTTGAACTCGATCGCACGGGCCTTCGTTCAGACCAAATCGTCCGTCTTCCTAAGCTGGGCCTGTATGGCTGCAAACGTCTTGCCCTTGGTCTCGGGAAGCCACAGGAAGCAGCTGATTATGGACGTGAGGCTGAACAGCGACGATATCAGATAGTTGCGGTACATGCCACCGTCATCGGCCAGCACGGGGTAAATCTTGAGGGCCAGGAACGACGCGACGGTCAGCGTAATAGTGTTGACCGCGTTGGCTATGGACCGGGTGTTGGACGGGAACAGCTCGCAGTTGATGGTGGACAGCAGCGAGCCAAGGCCGAGCGTGTGCGCGACGGACAGCCCGCCGACGGCCAACACGCACAGCCACCCGTAATCGGTCACGTCGTACGTGGTGCACGTGTCCACGTAAAAGTACGCGAATATGGCTGTGTCGAACGCAAAGCACGAAGCGCACGACACAATCATAAGTGGCCGACGGCCCACCCGGTCAGCGAGCACGGTGGACGGCAGCGCCGAGAACAGCACCGAGCAGGCGAACACCAGCGACAGCTTGTTTGAGTCGACGGCCACGTGCATCTCGGCGAACGTGATGGACGCATAAGATATGAGCGCGGTGACGCCGGCCATCACCCGGAACACGGACAGACCCTGTACGATGATGAGCGCTTTAAGGCTCACCCAGTCGGTGAACAGCTCGGTAAAGGACGCGTTGCGCATTTCCTTGCATATGCACTCGACCACGGCGTCCATCTCATCGTCCACCGAACTGCCGGTGTCGTCGCCGCGCAGCCAGACCAGCGCCCGTTTGGCGTCCGCCAGCCGGTTCTTCATCACGTAAAAGTGCGGGGACTCGGGTATGGTAGCGAACAGTGCGCAGAACACCACCGGGCCCGCCATCGCGGCGTACGTGAGCCGCGTGTAGTCCAGGTACATGCCGGCCGCGTACACGTACAGTATGCCCACGTACATCATTATCTGGAACATCGTGCCCAGGGCGCCTCTGATCTTCGGCCCGGCGATCTCACCCGCGTACACCGGCAGCACTGTGTACGCACCGGCCGCCAGCAGGCCCTGCATGAACCGCACGGCCAACAGCCCCTGAAATGTGTCGACGTACAGCAGGGCCACCCACGTGGCTAGGGCCATTGGTCCGATGATCTGTAGGCTGGGCTTCCGGCCCCACCGGTCGGCCAGCACACCGAACGGCAACGACCCCAAAATCAGGCCCCAGTCGATGACTGATACGAACCACGAGCTCTCGTCCACCGTCATCGGGATTGGGCTGTTTGGTCCCAGCAGCTCCTCCATGATCGGTGACGTCCAGCCGAGTATGATGCCCACGTTCATTATGGACAGTGACCCTGCAGCACACGTAATACAATATTGTTATTTTTAATAACCATTATGATATTGTATTAGGTATAATAGGTATGCTTGACGACATGACTCGCTGGTAAGTCATACGGAACCTTTAAACTTATCCGTTTGAACGGAATTCTAATTTTTTTAACGCTTATAGAAGAGAATGGAGCCCAAACTGGACGGGTGTATAGGTAATCAATTGCTAAATTATTGAGGTTATAGTAAAGGTGATGATTTTATTTGGCATGTTGATTTATTATAAATTGATAACTTGTGGATAAAGGGATAAAGAATTCTCATTTAGGGCTAGCCTTTCAAGTGTTTTTTTTGTTGATATGAATTTTCTAGGTAAGTTTTTCGTTAATAAAGTCGTAAGGACACTGAGGTGCAAGTATTGTAGTGAATAATGAGATTAATAATTTTTAATCATAATGCGAAATGCTAATATAGTTTTAAATTATTTTTTTAATACTTGTTTATGATTAATACTTATCTTAGTACCTATAGTGTGTATTATGTATATAATAAGTGCTTTTTAAATATTTGTTCGTAATAATAAAGATGATAACAAAAGCACTATATTTAGTAACTAATACTAAATATTATACAAAATGAAATGACTTGTAGTTTGAGATTGTTTATACTTTATAGTTTAAGTATTCAGTACTTTTCTAAATAGAAGGAATAATATTTATTTAGTCGGCCAATTATAAAATATTCGCGTTTATAATATTATTAAATTTTAATGGACTCTCACTGTTTTATTGAATATTATACAATGTACTTTGTAATTATTTGTAAACATAGGTTAACTATAAAAATCGCCAATTTAATGTATTTAGTTAATAGGTACTTTACTAGACTTTAGACTTTTTACATAAAGTTTATGTCATCATTATTCTCTTATCTTGAGGTTATTACTATACATTTCAATAGGTACATACTCTTAATACATGTATAAATTTGTTATTTTTATCTTTCTGTCTAAGGCATCTTAAGATTAAAAAAAAGCTACAAATATAAGACAAAAAACATGCATCTAATTTTGAAGTATTAACATTTCTCATTTACTATAAAACTATAATACTTATTAAGTACCAACCTAGTTATAATATATATAATTAGATGTTACGTCAAAACACATATTATTATATTATTACAATATTATACTGATAATAACTGATAAATATAGTCGGAGAGTCGATATGTCCACCCGTGTTCGATAAATACCTATTACAGTTGTGCATAGAAAGTAGAAACTGAATCAAAAGATATGCCACTCGATTTATAACGATTATTATTGTAAGAGATACATTTACAACAGATTTATTAACAAACACAAACCCACCGGTTCCAGTCCTATGATTAAGTAGGTACATAGATAATTAATATGCATTGTTTATTTTGAATAGGTAGTGCTTCGCTTTGGGATATAAATATTCACAAGTAAATAAGTTATAATTATATAATACATATTATATATTATGATGTATTCAATTAAAAAAAAAACAATACTATAATAATTCATTATCAACTATCAAGAACTAGGTAATTCGACTATGTTTGATTTGATTGATTAAAAAATAAATATCTTTACCGGATGTCGAATTGACAAAATAATAATTGGTTTTAAAGTGGTACCTGAAGTATCTAGCAAAAAAAAAACGGTTCTTTTATCACAAATATATGTTTATCTTGTTAGGTTACACTTAACTATTTTAACACTTAAACTCAGTTTAATCAATTTAAGAAGATGTAATATCTTTTGACTTTTGGTATTCAATTTGTTCTCGATTAAATTATTAATTAACAATAACTACACGTCTTAATCGATTGTTTGTTATTATATTATATTATATTAATATTCGAAAACAACTTCGATATAGTAGGTACTTAAAAGAATTACGAAATTAAAAACTGCCTCATTTTCAATTTATTATCAGTTCTAATATTATTCAATTATACGTTTATATTGAACCTAGAGACTTGAAATTTGTTGGGCTATATATATATATTATGACGAAAATAACTTTATTTAATAAATGTTCCACTGAGCAAGCAAAAAAATTGCATATCACTGTGCAAATAATAGCTACATAATCACTCAACAGTGGCGTGTAACATGGGGTCAAAGTGTTGTTCTGGCAGCACTTTAACATGGGTGGGTGGGTTTTGATAGAAGAAAAATAGGACATTTTATAGGTCGGTATGAGAGTTAGGTCGTAGGTCACCTAAAATTATTTGAGCAACATCAATTTATTTATAATACACGTCACTGCATTCAACTGAGTCTAAAATAGATATTAATGTAGATATTTATGTACCTACAAAACTATGTTAAAAAATGCAATATTCCTTTTTTACGTTTGTGATGGTTTAAATAATTTAAATAGTATTATTAAAAGCCATCTGCGTAAAATGTTTTCGTCTATCTAAAATACACTGGACTCGTCCAGTGAGTCCAAAAGTTGCAGCCTGATAAATAACAATGGTCAGTGCGACGGTAAGCATAAATGTATAATTATATAAACGTTTAATTATTTCCGATGATGCAATTCGATTTTTCTTACCTGCAGTTGCGGCCAAAAATTGTCTCAAGACTCCTTTGTTTATCATTTTGTTGTGTTGTATTTTTTTTTTTTTGAGATTAAAATTGATCGGAAATGAAAAATTTAAAAGGTGAACAATAAAAATATGTTTACAGATAAATATAATCGTCCAAGTCCGGCGAACAAAATTATTCCGACCGTAACGGTCTTCTGGCAATAACGTTGTCCAGTTTTTTTTAACTATTTATTAATAATTGTCGTAAACATTATTGTCGCACGCATATGTAACAGAATTCAAAATTCATAGGACAGATCGCCGGCTTGGACGAATGTAGAATACCGAGTGGCAAGCGTAGGTCAGGCACTTATCGGGACGGATTTCTTATCAGTTATCTTTGAACTTGCGAAAAAAAAAGGGGAACTGACGACTGTACAACACGAAATATTAAATCTGAATTACAAAACAGGTAATCCCTTTACTGACAAGTGTCACGTGTTACGTTATATACTATGACAATTATTATTACACCTATGCCCATCACATAATGAGTTTAATGTATAATAATATATATTATGTACCTACATAAATTACCAATTAGAACATTATATATTTAAATATATTTTTAATTTAATTTTTCGTTAAGTCGATTTCGATATTTTACTAGTGATTTTATCTGATTTACGAGATCAATTACACCTATAATGTTCATAAAAATACTTCAACGCAAATATGTTTTAATATTATATAATTCAATTCATATTCTCTGTATTATAATTCATTTAAATTCAACTATTTAACTATTTAAGCACACTTTAATAATTCGAATACCGACCGTACGTCTATTCTGTGCTTAAAAATTGTAATGCTAATATATTAATAATTAAGGTTTAGAAGTGTCAACTAGTAGCAATACTAATAATTGTTAGCTATACTAATAATGTGAATAATCTCCCACTAAACTAAAATAATGTTAATATTGATTTGTATGTTTAATTATTTAATTCTTATTAGGTGTCCTTGGTATTATTCACTTTATGATTACCCTTATAGATAATTATTAATGTTTGACAGTATTGTATATGAAAAATCAATAGGTAGGTACCTGACACTACCTGTATAATGTACGAAATATAAAAACAGAGCAAATTCGTTTGTTTTCAAACACTCAACAATTCTACATTTCTACTAGTTGCATAATGTCTACTATATAATTTCCATTCCTTTTGTATTTCCAAAGAATACGCGATTATATAAACGAGAATTCGAATACAGAAACGATAAAACATGTGTAACGTAGACAGAGATAATGTTCCTTTTTAGAACTATAAAGTATGTAGGTTCCACACTAAACCGAAATGATCCACTGCATCGGGAGTATTAAAACATTATTATATTATTATATATTAAGATTACAGTAAACTCTAGGTTATCCTTAAAATAGGATGGCACCACAACTACGGAAAGCGAATTCCGCGATTATACGTATACCTATTAAAGTATTACCTAATCCGTAAAAATTCGAACTAAAATAAAATTTCTCAATTATTATATCATTAAAAAAAAATATATATTACCTATGTAGTATTAAATAGTGTTTAAAGAATATTCAAAATTAGATAAGTACACTTTGTATATTTTCATTCAAAAATGCATGTATAACATATTCATATTAATATTATATACCTATATATAATAATATAATATAATATATTATGAGTTATGACATTTACAATTATTTTTTAAAAATCCTTATTTTTTTTTTTAATAAGACTTGGAGACAACTGAGGTCATAAGCCTGTTACTGTGGGATTTGCTCTGTGCAGTTGGTTAGGGATTACGCGTGTGTGTGGCAAGAATTTGTCACTAAAAATCTCCCACTCACCTATCCGGGAACTAGTGACACCGGCCGGTGTGTTCACTCAGAACACGTTTCGTGACTGAAAAATACATATTAAATTGTACACAATCCCACGGATAGCACAAAGTGAATAATACCTATAGAGTTTACAGTATATAATATATATAAAATATATACAAGATTTTCTCAATCTATTACCAATAGTCTTGCTGATTGCATGATTGCAGACAAGCAACTTATCTTGGATTTCTAATCGACCTCCAAACTGGCAAAATTTACCAATCAACACTTCTAGCCCTAATCTTCCAATGTACCTTCCCGTTTAATCCACTCACATATATCATGCCTAGTCCGTTCTATAGCACAATTTCTCTGGCAGTAACTATGTTTTCAATTCCCAAATTATCCGACTTATTAGCACCGAAAACCATGACCCCATTTTCACTCTATTGTACGTATCCGTTCATTTTTATAATGAATAAATCAGCCTTCTACATTTATATTTTGATCTGGTTGTTTTTTGGGCTTGTCCCGTATGGCTATATTTATGAATAAATAAAAATAATAAGTAGGTACATAATATTATAGCACTCGTGAATTTATGTCGTCGGGAGAAAAAATTTAAGTTGTATATTATGTTATTATATTATAATATTAGAACTATTATTAACAGAAATGTACGTATGACGCCTTATACTATTATACTGCACTACTGCAGTGCGTATAGGGTAGCTGCTGCCCTGACCTGTCGGCTGTCCTGATGGGCATATGTAAACTCCCCTAAAACTATTTTGCTACTGTGTTATGCTTACGTAAATTCCCCTAAAAACATTTTGCTACCGTATTACGCTTACGTAAATTCCCCTAAAAACATTTTACTGTTTAAACACAGTAATTACGTGTACCTACCTATTTATTTATTAAAATTTCAACGTCGTAAGGGCATAATTATGATTAAATATTATGATATTATGATTAAATATTTGCTGAGATATTAATATAAGATATAATATAATATATAATATATAGATATTAATAATAAGTTAAAAAGACGACAATAATTATTAAACCAACTAATACAAAATTATAAAGATCAAAAATTAACTAAATTTCATTATATAAAAACAATTTCACATTATTACTCAATCAAAAAATAATCAACACTTAATAATTTTAATAAAACTAGAATGGCGATGTCACGATGAATATGAATTTTTCTAAAGAGCTGAATTTTCTATAAAGAAAAAAAAATATTTTTGGAGGATAACTAGAACCGCCTCCACGCTTGGTGTCCACTGGGTTACGCTAAATGGTTCTAATTTTGTTTAGGGGAGTTTACATAAGCGTAATACGGTAGAAAAATGTTTTTAGGGGAGTTTACTATTAGGGGAATTTACTATTTAATTTTTTAGGGGAGTTTACATTTGCCCGTCCTTATATAACACGATCGTGGGCATAATACTTGACTAGACGTCGCAGATTACAGCCAGATAACTCCATCTCGACGAAGTGGATGAGGTTCTGTTCGTCTCCATACCTGAGTGGTCACACTTTTACGCGCAGGTGAACGACCGACTGGCGACGACACCGGCAATTCGGTTGACCAGGTTGTGACCAGTGGCTGAGTGCATATGAACAATAAACATGCATTTTGTGATTAACGAAAAATATTATACGTATGCAGGAAATCTAAATTTATTATTTATAGATGCACAGTATTGTGTTATGCACAGCAAAATCTATTTCAAACCCCCAAATTTCCAATTTTGTCATTCATTATTATATTAAATATATAAAACTCTTTTATCCTGTACGCATGCACCACTGCGCTAGAATACATACATAAAATACGTGCATTTACTATGATGAAGAAAATGTGACCTGCTTAAATTTTGGTAGAAATTTAAAAAAAATTAAAAGACGACACTGACTCAGCGAGTCCTTCTCCGTGCTGTTCGCCGACTGGGTGTGCCTCGAGGTATCGTCCAGCATGGCCTGTCCGTGTTCCTGGTGATAATATCGTACGAATTAATCAAGTTCACGCAGAAGCAAGTGGCCGTCAACGCCAACTAACTGTATAGTGACCGGTAGTGACCGCCTTGGCCGACCGAGTAGTCAGCCGGCTCCTCATCAGTGCACGTTCAACGCGGCCATATTCGCGTACTTTTGCGTGGGCCTATGTACCACGTACAACGTTACCGAGTGCGAGTGCGTGGTGGCCGGGGTCGGCTTGCTGCGGACCACCGTCATTGACTTCAAGCAGTTTCCATCCAACGCTGTCCAACGACCGTCCCGTCGTTCCTGCAGGATCTCGAGATATGCCTACCCTGCGCTTGCCGATAACGGTGACATGTATCGCAACTATCTGATATCGTCGCTGATCAGCTTCACGTCCATAGTCACGCTGCCCGAGACCAAAGACGTTCGCCGTCATATCGGACCGGCTTAAAAACTCGGGCTGAGTTCAAACACTGCTGATGGATGAGAAAGAGGAGGAGGAGGAGGAGGAGGAGGAGGAGGAGGAGGAGGAGGCTGGAGGAGGCTGATGAGCAACAAGTGCATATACATAATATACAACGAATCGAGTACCCGTATAACATTTTTAGGACTTGCTAAGACGTTAACTACATAATATTATATAAGTAATATTATTATCTATATGACTATCTGTAAACTAACAATCTAGCATTTTTTTTAAGTAATTATATGCATAGTTAGTGCCCTAAGTAGATATCTCACTCATTTAAAAGTTAAAAATCTCTCATTCGCCAACCTATTACTGAGTTATAATAGTTCACTGAAGTCAAAATATTTTATAATATAGAGAAAACCAAAGAATCACTGCTAAAAGGCGTTACACAATATACGATGTATTGGGTTTTTATTTTGCCATCTCTTTATTAGGTACTTACTTAACTAATCGTATGAACTAGTGAACTACCTACCTATATAATATAGGTAATCATGTGCTGGCACTCATGATAAATGAGTTTTGTGTCCAAAACACATAGGTACCTACTCGAAATTACGTCTCAACCAGAATCTAATATTTGAGTGCTTTGATTTACATGAACTATTCATCCAAATTTTTCGGATTGTACTAATTTTCTAAAAACATTGAGTAAACATTTTGATTTTGGGGAGCCAGGGTCACGTCTACTGCAGCACCTCGAATAGTAAAAATATGAGTTTAGGTAATATGACTTAT